GGCGCAAGGGTGGAGTCTTGTTCCTGATGCCCGGCTGCCATGTCCTTGGCTGTGCTGCTCTGCATGGGCCACGCCCGGGGGCAACTCTCCACCGAGGGAGCTGCTCATAAGGAGGGGGCTGCGGGGGGAGGTGGGGCTGGGGAAACAGCACACGTGCCCACAGAGAGGGCTCTGAGTGCCGCCTCTGGCACGCGTGCCATAAGTTCGCCACCACTGTATTAGGTTATATATAAATATTTTATATTGGGGAAGTCTGTATAAGGAGTATCTCTCATGGAACTCACTGGGCCTTACAAATGAGTTGTAAGAATTATGCTACATAGCTTCAGTTTCAACTTTAATATTGACTTTGCACAACTTGAAAGAGAGTAAGATTACTTAAAACAAAGCCCATTTTAGAATATATTTATTTTTTAATTAATTTATTTAAAATGTTTGTATGGCCACCCATATTAAAGCATAACTCTAGAGAGCTCACAATAACAATAAAGCTATTGACATATGAAACAAGGATTCATTATTTTTACAATGTCAACAAATTCAGTATTCAGTAAGGATGAGTTAGCAGGTCTGCATTATCTAAGTTTTCTAAAACATCCTTACTCTTATTCTGGTATTTCAGAACTTTGAAATTTTTGATATACTGGTCAAGGCTGAAATAGTGGGTTAGTAAAGTTAACTATTTGTCCCATGTGAACAAGAATGTCCATGTGAGTGGAGTATTCACACAAAGAAGACCCAAGATTGAGGGGAATTCCATGCTTACTACAGTATAAAGTACTGTCTGATGGTCATATAGAGATGATGGAGATAAGAATTCCATTGTTTCCATTGAGAGTTTCAACTAAGCTCTGCTGAATTGTTCTTCATAGCACCTAGATGTGTGTGTGTGTGTGTGTGTGTGTGTACTTATTTCTGACAGTTTTAATAGTTCGAATTGGAATCCATACTCATGTGAGACTTAAATGAGTATTACTTCCAAGCATCCATGCACAAGATTTAATTATAAATCATTTTTTAATTTTCTAGTTCTGAAGTTTCTAATTAAAACTTTGCCAGGTTTAAAAGACCTAGTGATGTAACCTTACCATCCTGAACCTTTATCATCCCATTGCAGAAAGAAATCAGCTTTTTCCCTTTGTAATTTTAGAACATTTCAATTTATATATGGCAAATGAGCTAATGCATTTTATTTTGTTTTTCCATTTTGTTTTACTTTTTTCCTTTTCTTTTAGATTGAAACAGCCTCAAGCTAGAAAAATGTTGAAAGAGGGAATGATTGTGGCTCTTGGCAGTGATTTTAATCCAAATGCTTACTGTTGTTCTATGGTAATGCTGCTATACTGGTGGTTATTGGAATCATAATGATTGTTCATTCACTGTTCCTTTTCTTCTTATAATCTCAGAATGTAGATATAAAAATATTTTGTTTCATTTTTTTATATTAGTGATCTATGAATTTAATTATGAACCGAATGGTGGGGTTTTATATGCTGATAGTATGAAGTAGCCTCATGCAGAAAGCAGTTTTCCACATTTTTTTCCAGAAGGAAATTTTTTTTGAACACTTGAAATCCATGCAGATAGACTTGAGTTTATCAAGTGTAATTCATGGGTCATGTAGAGATTATTATTCTCTCTTTTGTAGTCTCTGGATCTCCCAAGATTACATTGCCAAAGTGTGGTTTCAAACCATTATGTAACATCAATGCAATTTTGGAAAACTGCCCATCACAAAACAAACAATTCCCAACCATCCATCTCCAACCCCCACTTCACCCCAAAATGATAAGAAATGACTGAAAATGTCATTCTTGCCCCCTCTGCTGATATCATTCCTGGTCAGGCTCCTGAGGCACTGAGCTACAAAAAAGATAATTAATAAAACAGAATGGGATTGCCTTTACCCTTTTGTTTCTTCCAACCCACCCATTGTATGAATCAGAATGCCTAATTCCATAAAATATACTTTAAAAATGCCTGACATTGCTTATGGTTTGAATCATGCCATAGTTTGGAATTCATATCAAACTGAGCTTGGAGACTTTCAAAAGTGACTACTGTAACTGTTGATCTATTATTTAGTAAATTCTGACAGCACTTTTGGTTTTTTTCATTAGCTGATGGTCATGCATTTAGCTTGTGTAAACATGAAGATGTCCATGAAAGAAGCCTTAGCTGCTGCTACCATTAATGCTGCTTATGCTCTTGGGAGATCTCACACTCAGGGGTCTATTGAAAAAGGCAAACAAGGAGATTTTATTATCATTAACTCTTCAAGGTAAGAATGTAAAGTCTTCACTAATGTTGACATTATTAGAAATTAGTTAGACTGCGCTACCTGGGAAAGTATTATAAGTAATAATGCTATTACTAATAATAAAAGTTGAAATTTCATTTGAGTCACCCTTAGTTCATAGTGACTTCCTAGATATTCATGCCTTCTTTTAAATAGGAAGGCACTTAACCATATCATCCTGTGCCTGTTTATCTTTTTTGATCATATAGACTATCTAGTATTTCTTATTCTGTTCTCTGCATAAAATATAACTATCTATTTCTTTCAGGTGGGAACATTTAATCTATCAATTTGGTGGCCATCAAGAATTAATTGAATATGTAATTATTAAAGGAAACATTGTTTACAAAAATGACAGCATTCTGCAATACTAGGTATATTCTACAAGAATAAATACCACAGTTGCCAGATCTCCAAAGCGCACACAGAACAGTGATTAGTAAGTTCTCACAATTATGTAAAACCTGAATATTATGCTTGTTTACCATACACAAATCCAGGATTTAATTGATTTTCATTCCTATTTTTAATGAAAAATAATGGCTGATTTCATTTTTAGCATGTTCCTTTTTCTCAGCAAATTATGAAATAAATATGTATAGGTCTTAAATCTTCTCAGTTTCTTTTAATTCCAGCTCATCAGTATGATTTGTCATTAGAGTCAGAATACAATAAAGAAGATTCAAATAACTGCACATTTGCTATCTTGTCTTCATGAAGTTGATTTGTATTTCTTGTGAATAGCACAACTTATTTAATTGGGGGACACTGAAGAGCAATTTATAATATAGCACTGAAGGGTTATATACACACATGTGGAAATCTTGTTTTATGTTTGGTTTCTTTTTGTGGTAATCCATAGGAATCCAATTTCATAGCAATTGAATGTTCTGAGATATGGGATCATTTGTAACTGGTAATTTAATCCAGTTGGTAATTGAACCCAGAAGTTTGAATGATTGACCACAGAAGTTTTTCTGTTTGGACTAGAATATTGTCTTGATATGGCTTCATATTTTCTGATTTCTACCACAACCCCCAACTTTGCTTCATATTCCTGGTTTCCAGGTTCGCTCAGTAGCTGCACATCCACACAGCTAGTTAAATATAATTTATTCCAGTCCATAGGGTGACACAATCTAAGACAGCATACATTGTTTTGTCTATGTAGCCAGTCTACACCTTAGTCATGAGGCCAACATGTGGTACTGTCCTACCCACCTTATTGTGGGTCAGTTTAAGGTGCAGCAGTTAACTGATTTCCCAATCAGCAATTAAGACAACCAACTCTTACTTTTCACTGTGTATGCTGAGACTGAGTGAGGAGGCAGGATGGACAGATAGCTAGCACAGTAGCTTCAGCCACCTGTCAGATATATTATGCTTTGCTTTAGAAACCCCTGGAGTAATAATCTCTGTCAACACCACTAGAGACTGTGATAAGCTAGAACCTGTTGCAGCACCAACAAACTACAGAAAGTGCTCAAGTTCAGGTCACTCAATTAGTGTTACTGCCGCTACTCCTCTTTTAAAGTCATGTCAGTCCAAACAAAACAAAATAACCATAGAGGGAAAAACACAGCGACTGGAGAAAAAGCATGACTGGAGAAAAAGCAACATGCTTGCAGCAGCCAAAAGCACCTAAAAGAATATGGGCAAATTTCAAATCTTCCACAGACTCATGAGTCATCACTAAAATGTCACATTTAGGCTTGTATAGGTAAAGTGACCAATNCCTCCTTTAGGGAGGACAGTCCTTCTTTTGTACTCATTTAAATAATAATTAATAGGCATGTAAGCATAGTTACAATATAAAATGTTATTGTTACAAATGTTTTTATTATGCATTTATCATATTATAGTGTATTCTGTATTGTTGCAATGAATAAAATGTTTTATTTACGATATTTTTTTCTTCAATTTATTTGTGTCCTTCTCATTGTAAAAAAGTTGGTCATCTTAGTATAGGAAAAGATGGAAAACAGTACTTCCACATTAAATCAGAAAAATCCAAAGTCAGCTGGCCTTAGCAGTGTTAACTAGAGATACAAAGAAGGCTATATCATGCAAAGAAGTCCATCAACAGCTATTTATTTATTAATTAAACAAACCTATATATTCTCAGATTGGGGGTAAGAGGACATGTATAAATACTTAGTCTTATAAAACTTTTAAGATATGGCTTATAGCCTTCAAATTTGGATTGCTACCAAATTGTATTTTACTATACTTCTACAATATCTTTCATTGCTTCTGCGTATTATGCACAATTCTAGTGCTGGATTAATTTGGTAAAAGTATGAATTTAGTATTCATTTCTGAAAAGATTTAAGGATTAATTTGTGTAAAAACTGTAACATTAAATATATTTATTTTAATATACTGGAACAGTTTGCTTCATATTAACTGTCTTAATTTTGGCTTGACGTTGATTTTATTAACTTTGCCATGAAACGTAATTACTACATAGGATTGCATTCCAGTCCAATCTCCATTAATTTTGTAATAAATTAAATCTATTATTCTCTTTTTAAAATTTGTGAAATAATAACATTATTTCAGCAACTTTTCTATCAGTATTTCTGGTTTTGAAAATAACTCCCCCCCCCAAAAAAAATACCATTTAGAATAAACTATGGAAATATTACAACACATAAAATGATCCAGCATATGAAATACTGAGATTCAGTTCTGATAGTTTTCACTGTTCATGTTCTTCATAATCACTGTGGTGATGGTGGTGACAAGAAGCACTTTTACTGGCTGACAGAGAAAATGCAGTTGGGGAAATGGGTCTGGATTCTGGAATATGTTCCCTTCTGTATTTCTCAATGTATGGTTCAGCTACTTGCCAAACCTAGATGTAGAAAATAAAAAAGCGAGTTAGAAGAAAAGGCAAAGTCTGATCCTGAAACTCAGCAAAATATTGGAGCATATGTCAAAATAACTAATAAACAGGAGACACGCTAAAATTAGGAACAGGCAACTGATGCCCTACAGGTGTTTTGCCCTACATGTGTCCGCTACTGGCCATAAAGCTAATTCTTATGGGGTCTGACATTCAGAATATTTAGAGGGCAAGTTTGTTTTATCATTCATTCATTCATTCATTCATTCATTCATTCATTATGATTTTATTAATGTAACTGATTGAAGCCAGTTTGCCCACATCACCCAGTCAAGATAAAAAAACTCCTCCCAATTTTTTCTTTTTTATTCTGAAATTCCATATATCTGCCTACCACCAATTTTACCTCTTTAGTAACAAGTGAAAGAATACTTCCTTATCTGCCCACATTTTACGGATTCCATTTTTCCTTTCCTTGTTTAAATATTTGTTTTTATTGGCTTGCTAATTATTTTATGCCAATTATTTCTTGTTTTCGTTTGTTTGTTTTCCAACATTTACCACTAATGAGCTGACCGGGGAAACTTTTGACAGTGGAAAACAAATAAATATAGGTATTTGAAATAAATATGCTATTGTTTTCTCACAGTAGCTGCTACAACCTTGATTTAATCTTGCTTATGTTGACTGGGAATTATGAGAATTATAGTCCTAACACATCTGAAGAGTATCATTAAATATTTAACATGTTATTTAAGTTAAACACTTAAATATTTTTCATAAAGCAGTGAATACTAAATCTTGTAAGGAATTATCAACAATTGCTAGGTACACAAAGTTATTTGCATGAATGTATATGCATAACAACAACTTGCCTTCTGATCTACAAGCAATCGGTGAGTTGCTTCAATGTCAGGGGCCATAAAACGATCTTTTATCCAAGGCCTGAAAAACATCAAATTAAAATCCTAAATTTAGTCCTGTTAGTATAGTTTTGTTAATATTTGGCCAATGTTCCCAGAAGCTATAATCTGTGGGAATAGTTGTTTGATATACCTGACAACAGACCGCACAAGGTCATAGACTTTCTCCAATGGGGTTGTAGTCCTGAGGGGGCGTAGAAACTCAATGCCCTGACATGCTGCAAACAGTTCTATAGCCAGCACTAGTGAATAAAAGCAATAGGAAACTGCTTGGTTAGCTGAAAAGAGTTCAAGATATAACACTCAACGATTGGAGTCACAGAACCCAGTTGGCACTTTGAGATGTGAATGAGAGTGGACTTCTGAACAAATTATACAAATATTTTGTCATTTGCCAAGAAATGCAAGAAGTTGATCTGTAGGTTAAATATCAAGGGGAAAGTAAAAGTCAAATTAAACAGTAGATTTATTAGGCAATTCAAGACCACAAGTTAACATGCATTGTGCAAACATTAGGCAAAATTATAAACAACGAATAAACAAAGAGGGCAAGCACCATAGTCATAATATTGGTAAACGATGTAATCATGAAATCTAATCTTTATTATGGTCACAGACCAGATAAAATGATTTAATAATATTCAATGCCATTAATAATACATCTGCACCAAGCTGTTCATAATACAGAAATGCCAAAATAAGATACCCACAGAATAATAAAAAAAAAGGATAAGACTTTTTCATTTGAGCTACCTTAGCCTCTAATGAAGTATACTATGACAATCTATCCAAGATCAACAACTAAAAACATATTTTTAGTCTGATATATTTCACAATCTTACACCTTATACATTGGGGCTGCTTACAATACATTTCAAAGCACTGAGTTGTCTGAAGGAGCCTAAATATGCCCCTCATAATGGTTCTGTACTTTAAAAAGTCTTGTTGTGCCACTTAGATGCCAAGCGATTTTCATCTCTCCTCAAGCTCATTAGGGATGTTAAAGAATTTAGCTACAGATGTTGCTGGGAACAAAGGCTAGTTTTTAATTCCAGTAGATTCATGGCAAAATGAATGCCAGTGTGAACACAGTCTGATTGATATTCATGCTTCCAAACCTGACTCTCTGTTGAAAATGTACGAACTTATCAGGAATCTTTGCTTTTTCTTTAGCTTTGTAGCAAAAGTACCTCCACAAAGTCACAGCAACAGTGGGTTCATCTCAGGGACTGATTCTCTTTTGTAGTATTTCCTGAAGCAGCTCTAAGAAGAGTCTGCTGTTAATATGTGGGACTGTGATAGGCAGGTCTTTGACCAATACATAAAATTCTTCATATATCATAAAAATAAAAAGTTAAAACAATTAAAAAGAAGTAAAAGAAAAGGAGAGGAAGAAAATTTAAAAGAGTCAAAGAAATACAACTTTATCAGATAATGTTGTAGCAGCAAGGTAATAGTGATCTTATGATCTGCTAGAATATAGGAGACATTCCAATGATATTGTGAAAAGAAAAAAAAAGGCCAAGAGTCCACGTGGTCTTACACATTTTTAAAGGAAGCAAATTCTCTGTAGATTTTAAAAAGACCAATGAATTTTGTCTGGATAGATGATTAAAAACAAACCCTGTAAAGCAAGGAATGAGAAGAATCAAACCGACATTGATTCAGCCATTCGTATCTCTAACAGTGCCACTGCCTATCTTGGAATCCTGTTTTTGTTCAGCCTCATAGGAATCGAACACACAAATGTACCTCGTGAAGCTTTGCTGTGATGCCCTGTGTCTTCCTAGGAGACTGCCACTTAGCTTTACCTTGTTCCACATGCTCAATGACTTTAAGTGCTTTTCTTGCAGCCCATCCTCCCATGGAGACGTGATCCTCTGTCGCAGCACTGGTTGAAAGAGAGTCCACAGAAGAAGGGTGGCACAAAGCTTTATTCTCTGAAACTGCAAAAGTCCAGAAGAAATAAATGCTGGCCTCAAAAGCAAATAATAATGGAAACAATGTCCCATTATAAAGATCAGTCAGCCATTAAAGGTCTTTGTAATAATAGTATTGTATCCAAAACTTTGGGCAGTGGTCAAATTCTACATTTCAATGTATCCTGAAGTGAACAGAAGCCAACAGTAAGTTCTGCCTAGTCTAAAGTTGAGTTTGGTATCTTTCTTCATCAAAGCTGAATGTCTACTTAACTATATACATGTAACTGTTTACATATTCAAAATAAAAAAATAAAGAACTTGCAATACTGTAGTGGTGAATATCTGTAGCTCGGGTGTAGGATGAGGGTGAAGGTTCGTTCTCCGAGTTGGAGGGTTGGTTTCTGAACTTTTCCTTATCAGGCTAGGTAACCTCTTTAGCAGTATTTAGTGGGTGTCTGTGTCAGTGTTCTACTTATACAAGGGCTTCAGGTGTGGGAGTGTCAAGAGAGGGTCTTGTGATGGGCCAGGTGTGAGTCATCAGAGAGAGGCTTGTGATGGGGAGGTACTTCAGGTAGATAGATAGATACTGTGCAGACCTTCCATAAACTTTGTATCTTTTTTTTCTTTGTATCTTTTTTTTCTTTTCGAATGGTTGATTCGAAAGTAAGCTTCAGATTGTTGCCTTGATGAAATAGCCCAACCATGGTGGGATATTAGCTTCCACAATATTTCTATATAACTGAGTGTATTTTTCCATCTACCTACACAATATTTTCTATGCTCAGGAAGGCTTTCAATATATATGCTATATTATGCGTATATATCTGGGAATAAGCCTATAAGCCAGACTATTATTTATTCTAAGATGATATTGCATATAGAGAATCATGCTGTCAATGTATAGAAGTTTTGGCACAGTGCCAGATTGTAATTGATAGTCTTAGATGCAAAGAGTTATGCACAAGAAATTGTCAAAAAAATTGTATGCGCTACAGTACTATCATAAAACAGACAGAATGCACTGTTATCAATACTCCCAATTTCAGGTAAGAAGTTCATATTTTCCCAAGTCCTCAAATGCCTGTGAGCCTAAGTACTCACCCAAGGCAGCTGCTGTGCAATGTGCAATCATGAAACCAGAATTTAGACCTCCTTCTGTAACCAAAAATGGTGGTAATTCACTGAGTGATGGATTACAGAGTCGTTCGATTCGCCTTTCACTAATTGCAGCAAGTTCATGGACACCAATTGCAAGGTAATCTAAAGCCTGCAAGTTGAATAGTTTTAGAGGTAGGAATTTTAGCTATCCTCCCTCCCTCCTAATTTCAATATTAGTAAATACATGTTAGAGAAAGAAATTTTAGACACCTACCTTGGCTGGATATTCACCATGGAAATTTCCTCCAGAAATTGTCTCCTTCCGGTCGGCAAAAACCATCTTTACCCCCCAAAATTAAGAATTAATATGATGGGTTTAAAAATGAGTCCTTTGATCAGGTTAAACTCCACAATTTTAATATATTAATTCATTTACTTATTTCATAGTACAGATGGGACTTAGCAAATCATTTTTAAAGTGATTTGAGTGAGAGGTAAGCATATACCCTTTTGATGCATAGAAAATATATGATAAAGTCAATAGGCTTGAGTGTTTCTGCACAAATATGGAATTGAAGATTGGTTGCTAAATATAGTAAAAGAGTTATAATAATGGAACTAAAAAATGAAGGAGATAAAAAGAAATATTTAGTAAATGGTTCTAGGAGTCAGATCACGGTACATGATCTTCCCTTAAATGTTTAATGTATTTATGAATAAATATATAGCTTATTGTGACATTAGAGGCATGTTAATTGGAAAGTTAATATACATGCACTTTGAAATATCATTCCATTTGCTGTGAAACAGAATGGATTGCAATGAATGTTAGATAGATTGTGTGATGAAAGGAAGAGCCAAGAATTACAATTTAACATGTATGAGAAAAAGGTTTGGAAGAGAAAACAAAGATAAGAATTGCAAGCTATACTTATATTAGGGGGGAAAAAACTAGAATGAATGCATAAATTTGTGAACTTTAGAATATATTTATAGAGATGCGGAAATGAATGGAAAATGTTTAAGATATGGAAATGATGGTAGAAAGATAGTGGATGTTATGTAGCTTCTTGTGAGGAATAAATGTTTGTTGAAAGAAGTAAAAATGTTTGTATAGAGGAGTGTACTCTGCCACATTGTCACATGAAGTTGAATATTATGAAATGTATAGGTAACTTGAATGGAATGGGAATGGAATATTTAAGAAGTACATAGACATAGAGTCAAGAATGAAAGGCTGATGAATGAACATGGATGCAGTACAAAAAAGAGTAATCAATACAAAAGAAGATAGTTTGATCCTACAGAGAATAAATGTGCTTCTTAATCTAATCTAATCTAATCTAATCTAATCTAATCTAATCTAATCTAATCTAATCTAATCTAATCTAATCTCTCACAATCCAAATGTACTTCTTGTAATAGAACTCTTAAAGTAATTTTTTTTTAAAAAAAGGATACAGGATTGTCTGTTGCACTATTGAGCTCTGTGGTAATTATGTTCTTTACAAAGGTAATTGTGTCATTCACAACACCATGAACCTATAAGAAAAAGGTAGAAGTTATTTATTTTTTGGTAAACCATTATTCATTTTAGAGTTAACCTTCTCAACCTGTCACCCTCTGTATGTGTTGAACTGTAACTTTCTACATTCTCAGCCAATATAAGCAGAGGCTTCAGTTCAAAATTCTGTTAAAACAAGTCCACTCTTTCCATCTTTGTTGATTAAACAGAACATTAGTTTCATAATAATGCCTGATACTTTGTAGACAATACAAGTATGCAGCTTATATTCACATCATACTTTACAGGATTGATGTTTGGTTGGATCACAAGTGTGGGCAGAACATATGGAGTCAAGGAAAGGTAGACATTGTGTTCACTCAATAAACAAAGCCTGCAAAATATCTCTGCGTAAGTTTCCTATGCAATAAGCTGCATGTGTTTAATAAGTTTAACTATTACTATAGTGCATGCAGCAATGCTTACTTTGTTATAAATAATTTATTCACAGGTGACAATTTTTCACTATTGTTAAATTATTCTCTAGAATTATTTAACTAATTGAATTATTCAACTAATTGAATTATTCAGCCAAGAATTTCATTCTTTGAAATGATCATTCCATATAGATTCTACTTCTGTAACAAATATAATCTGTTTGGAAAACATTTTTTCGTACAGTATAATCTCTTTGAAGTCAAAGAAGTTCCTGGTGACTTTGATAAAGATGTCCATAAAATGTTGGCAGCAATAGGAAATGGTTTATTACTATCTTCTTCCAGGCTGTTTTTTGCAAGTACTAAAACCCTGATATTCAGGATAGGACCTACATATTATGTTATATCCAGGGCTTTTTTTGTCATAGAATGCCCAGAATGGAGTAGGGTAGGCAAGGCGGGTTGTATGACATGTGTGAGTTCCTGCACCTTTTTTTTTTTTTTTTTACAAAAAAAGCACTGGTTATATCCAATCAAAATTACCTTACTGATAAGACAAGTGAACTTGTCTGAACTTCAGGCAAGATTGACTAGATACTATAACTTGCTCAGACTGTGAGTATTTAGAGGCCCACATGCTGAAGTAAGTCTCTTTCAAGTAAAAATTGAGTGAAATTTTCCTGAGAACAATTTGAAAATGATCTCCTGTTGTCTTTATCTAAGAAGTCATTTTCTGCAATTAGCCTGCAGCCCTGGGATTTCCTGTTGATTTCTAATCTACTTGCTTGCCTGTCTAATTTTTCTGACTTCAGTCAAAGGTAACTGGATGCTGCCACTTAGCTGCATGCAGGTAGTACTACTTATTAAGTGTCATTTTTAAGTACAATTGTTGGAATTGGTATTTTTTTTTTGTTAATGTCATTAGTTTTACTTGTGAATTGCACTTGCTTATAAAATTAACTTTGGTTAATTTGGAAAGTATATTAAGATTCTGGCTACATGTTGTATATCTGAAGGAATTTCTGAAGCTTTACCTGAGGACAACAACGTAATGTGTACGCATCTTGCACTCTATCACAAAATCTATGTGATTCTGTAAAAGAAACAAAGCAAATAATGTTTGTTTTGGAAGACCTGCATTAATATTTTGGTGAAATCTTCACAGTGCGGTATTAAAATATGGGATTTGCATCAAAATATTTTGTATATGAGTTATGTGGCAACTGTTTTCACTTCTGTAACTCTGGATTCACATAGTAACAGTATATTGAATTTTGGTGCGAATAATATTTTATTATTTTACAATGAAATGTACATGTCATGTGTTTACAGGTAAGTTCTATATTCAGACTAATTTTATATTATAACATGTTTAATGAATTCTAAATATTCTATATGTGTGATTTTTTTAGCAACAAATAGTAGTCATGACTCAAAATACTATTTTCAATTAAGCAGAAATGTCATTTTTAGTTTTTTAATAAAAGATTGCACTAATTGGATAAATAAAGTATATATCAACTGCCAATAATTACTTACCTGCTATTTCAGAAGGATGATGATCAGAATCTAAAAGAGACCTGAATCGAAAAGCTACCTCAATCTGCCCTTGATGTGGTCGCAGTGCATGAATATCTGATTTAAAGTAAGGATAAAGAGGTAAAATATTTGCAGAAAATAAATGAAGGAGGATTGAAATTTGACCAAATTGACTTTATGGGCACCTTTGAAAATTGAGAAAAACATGGAGATATGGGGGGAAATCTGCCTGTGCTAGGCCTCCCAGGGCTTCTCCTGGGACCCATGAGGCAACTCTTGCTTTGTTTAATGACCCGATGAGTTCATTTAATGACTGCATCAAGGAGAGCAGGGGTGGGGGGGTGTCATAAGGCAAAAATGTGGGCATTTCCCTTAATGGCTGTCATGTCTTCTGACCATAATGAGTAGCCTCCATTATGGTTGTGAGCCAAGAACTACCTTTATAGCAAGAATGTCAATGAACCTCAAATTATGACTTATACAACAAAAAAAGATATTTGGAATTTAGTGGATTTCACTACATTTGTATAGATAAGGAATGTCAAAACAACATTTTTAAAGATGTAATAAGAATAATGCATCTTTAAAACACATGTTTTTACAGTGCCCTATATTTACCAAGTTTTGGGAGAAAGGAATGGATTACGTTAACATGATTATATGACAAAAACTAAAATTCTCAGAGGATAATATTTCCTGAACTACATGAGATTTGAAACCAACAGTGCAAATGAATTCTCTGTGCCCTTACTACTGCAATACTGGAAAGATAAATTCTGCCACTCAGTGATTATATTTGCCATACATGAGCTGATAGACATAAACTTTGTATGGACAAGTATAATGAAATATCAGATTCATTTATAAAGAATACAGTAGGTTAAAAATAGTCATATAAATGTATCAGAAATATATACATTTTGAATAATATTTGCATTAGACAAATATATATAGAATTGAATCTGTTTATTGATATAATGACGTATCATACAAAAGTTTACAGGTAGTCCTCAACTTACAATCATTTGTTTGGTGACCATTTGAAGTCACAATAGCACTGAAAAGAGTAATTTACAACCATTTTCACACTTATGATAGTTGCAGCATCCTCATGATCACTTGATCAAAATTTGGATGCTTGGCAACTGGCATGTATTTATGACGGTTGCAGTGTCCTGGGATCATGTGATTACCTCTTGCAACCTTCTGACAAGCAAATCTAATGGGGAAACTAGATTCACTTAACAACTGTGCTATTAATTTAACAACTGTGGTGATTCACTTAACAACTGTGGCAAGAAAGGTCATAAAATGGGACAAAACTCACTTGTTTTACGTAGCAATAGAAATTTTGGGGTCAGTGGTGGTCATAAGTCAAGGACTACCTGTAAAATGTTTTGGTCATATTTTTTCACTTTTTCATTACAGCACTTTTAATGTTTTTTTTAATCTCATTGACTATGTATGCCCTTACCGATATTATTTTCCTATTTGTTCTTTTCTTTCTTGTTATTAATTTAAACAGCAATAAATAACAAAAAAGCAATCAAGATAAAGAGGTAACAGTTTCCCTTTACTTGTGAAAACAAAGCTTTCTTATTTAGTTTTGTATAAACTTAAGACTATATTTAAGGGGAATGTAATACAGGAAAAAATAATTTAAAGTTGTAATCAATTAAAATCTAGCAGTGTGGTATAAAACATTTGGCGATCATTCAGTGTATTCCAATTTCTTTCAATGAATGGGACCTAATATAAAATGGTATAATGTATGGAGTGCTTTTGTTTGGGATCCAAACAGTATTCTTTTTTTAAAAAAAATGATTACTTCCATTTTACTTCCATTCTCTGCCCACAGCAATCAGCTAACATCTATGCCCAGGAATATAATGTATAGAACATAACCTATTCTGATTGAGTTGTTTGGTCTCCCAAGCAACTGTTACTGTTAAAAGTATGTTCCTAAATATTTTTCGCAAAGTTTTGGATTATTCTAAAGTTACTGGTTATGTGATGATGCTAGTTTGGCTGCCACAGTGAGAATTAGTATTGTTGAAAATGTATGCCACAAATTTGCAAACTAATGTATATATTTTGTAAAAAATCTGTAATACTGTTGTCCATTATTTGTGGGAAGCTCAGGTGACTTATAGATACGACCAAAATATGTTTTAGAATTGCTGAGGGATTTTTCTGGAATAGGTCTGTGAATAAAGAATATTACCACAGAGGGAAAGTGAGCAAATTACCAGAGAGAGAAAGTGAGAAAGACCGACAGACAGACAGACAGACAGACCTTAGTCTAAACTATGCTTTAAAAATACCAACCCGTATCAAAGGCTTTTGTTGTGCCCTTGAGAACTTCCAGTGTGAGGGCAGCCACAATGTCAGCTTGTCTAGCAATTGCACTGGCCCTTTCAACTGCTTCGCATCCCAGAGAAGTTATCATTTGTGTTCCATTGATAAGAGCCAGACCCTTCAAAGAAACGCCAAGGGTTATATTCAGTGAGTCTTTCTGTTCAAAGACATTTGTATGTCCTTCCTATATTTTCCTGGCCCAAACCACACAAGATGTTTCCTCTTGTGCTTCAGCCCAAAGCAATATCAAGAAATATTGGGTGGGGAAAGAAGCTATTTAAGTCCTTCATTCCAACATTTGTTCAACTTGAAATTACCTTTCTGATAGTCATATCTCATGACTGGCTACAATTTACCTTCCTAGCACTCCTGTCATCTAGAAAACTCCATGAAGACATGAAGCTTCAGTCTGAATCTCTTGAGTGTTTCACATATAGTTAATTTAAGAAAGCTGACTCGCTTTCTTCGTTTTCTGCATCAACCTTCAGCTCGCAGTTTGCCAAATAGAAAAGGGACGGCGGTCGGTAAATTCCTAGTGTGGGGAATGCATGAGACCCTTCTGCCGCTGAAGAGGCGATAACCACTACGGCCAAGTTCTCAGATCTACCAGCTGGAGCAGAATGTTTTCCCAAAACAAAAGTACTGAGTGTAATAGGTGGACAATGAAGTATGGGCAGCCCGGGGTGAAAAGGGGATTTTACCTAGGTGGGTTTTCGTGGAAAAACCTCAGAACTGACTTTGCTTCTGCTGTGCCTAAATGGATCTTTCAGTAAAGTTTTATTCTTAGTAGTTCCTACATGCCAGGAGTTTTTTTTGAGGGGGGGGATGTGCCAAATGGGTCGGTTGACACCTCTTTTCTTAAGTGTCTATGCAAGGAAGCAGTAAATGCAAAACACTCAAGTATATTCCATTCAACTACATAAGGAAAACTTTCATTATATAAAGCAAAGTTCAATTACCGTAATCCTGTGCTGAGTACTCAGCTGCAATCTAGCCACAGCTAAATAAGAATATGTAAAAGAAACTTATGTGGACCTTGGGCATATGAATGAGCTATAAGGGGAGGAAAAGATTGTATGGTTTTAAAAAAGAAGGAAAGTGGGAGAATGAAGCCCTATGCCCAAGTCAACTTTACATTTTTTCTGCAGAAGATACAGGCCTCTTTGATTCACTAAAACAATTCAGTGCTGCATTATGTACCTATATAATAAATTATCTGCCAATCGAAACTGTGATATTGGGAAACAAACATGCATTTTATTACCTCCTTTGGCTTTAAAGTAATTGGTTTGAGTCCATGAGCTTCCAGCACCTATAAAGCAGTACCAAGAAAGTTTATTAAGTTTATTATGGAACTTTTTTTTCTGTATATAACCATTTAACACATTTGTATTGTGTTAAATGTTCCAGTTCCAATGTTTTTCTTCAGATTGCCTTAACTTAGTGAAATGCTTCTCCTCAGGCAGTAGGTGGCTTCTAATTGTGTTTGCTTCAACTGAAGCACACACTTTCCCATGACCAGGAACCCTGGAATATTAATGTTTGCAGTTACACAGAGACTTTTATTCATAGTCAAGCAAGCTAGAGTACAGGTAGTCCTTGACTTAGGACATAATCAAAACCAGAATTTTGGTTTAAATTGTTGTGCTTATAAGTTAGGCACCACATGACTGGACTCAATTTTGGACCATTTTATGGCAATTGTTAAGCGAATCATGCAGTTGTTAAATGAATCCATTCTGCTAAATGGATATTTTTTTGCTGGAAACTGGCAAAAATGTCGGAGACCAGGAAAAAAAATTGCAAATTACAGTCACATGACTGTTCAATGGGGCAATCAGTCATAAATGTGAGCACTTTATCAAGTGCCCAAAATGCAATCATGTGATCACAGGAAAAGGGGCACAAAATTTTACAATTTTAAAGAACCCTTTCTGAGGTCATCATAACTTTGAATGGTTGTTAAAAGACCAGTCATAAATTGAGGACTATCTGTAGAAGCCCTTTATATTGTAGGTATTACTTAGAACAGGCAATTTAGTAATTTGGGAGAACAGGGCTGTCTTATGCATCTCCATGTCTCTTATATATACTTCACCTTATTCAGACTATAGATCCAATTAATCTTCTGTAATAATATAAAACAGTCTGATTTTTAAAAAAAATATATATACTATGAAAGTATGCCATATATTCTTTATACAGTATATAAAGGTCTCCCTAGATAGATTTTAAAAATTCTAATACTATCAAACAAGATTTTCCAGAAATTTTTAACTGAAGTGGCATTTTCTGAAATTATATTAATTTCTAAAAAGATGTTACAAAGAAAATCAAGGGGGGGGAAATCTTAATAATGCTTTAAAGGCTACAAATATATTAGTTAGAATATATGAAGATGAGAGCCAGTTTGATATAATGATTAAAGGCACAAGGCCTGCCTTAGAAATGAAACTAGCTGGATAATTTTGGCCAATCATTCACTCTCAAGCTACTTCTGACAAACTAAGAAAACTGTGTTTATCCAGGCAGTTTCTAGGAGTCAAAACTGATTTGAATGTACATTACATGTAGGTAAATATGTATTTAGAGTATATTTTATTAACAAATTAATTTGCTTAATTTGTTGTTCTGTACAGTTTGCTTGGCATCTTAAGATGTTTGATTATAAAATAAAAAGTTCCCATTCCATGATGGCATTTATTTATCAAATGTGTCTCTTTGCTGCTAGCAGGACATAGATTTGTATAACTATATTGAATTGTGTAAAGGAGAAAATAATAGATGGAAATGAGTTCAAGTACTTGCTTGATTTTCTGTCCTAGACTTTGGACAGTAATGGTTCATTAAAATCTAACACATGAGGTGGAAAGTCCAGGCTGAGAAAAGCTTTATTAAAAACTAGAGATCAAAACTGATTCTTCTTCATGGCCATCCCATAGGCATTCATGGATGCAATGGAAAATGCAGGAAGCATTTAAAATGCCCCTGCAGACTTCATGAATTGAAGTCATCACTTCACCTCCAGCCTGCTTGTTGTAGTGTCTTGCTTGATAGTGAGACCTGAGGCCATGAAGTCTTACCTGTGATCTGTTGGGGGTACTAAAGATATTTCCCAAATATTCCCTTTGGATTTCTCCCATTAGCACATGTACCATTTACATTAGAAAATATCTCTCTTACATATTTTGCATCAGCCCATCCACTCTTTGGGGACCACATCTTTCCTTCGCCAATGAGTCCCAGGGCAAGATGGGCAAGAGGTGCTAAGTCTCCACTGGCTCCAACAGTCCCTTGCTCTGGGATGTAGGGCAGGCAGGATGCTGTGGAGGAAAATTACTTTGGTTAGGGCTTCTCTTTGTTTGAGATACATCTTTAGCAGAGCACTTTAATTATAGTTCCCACTGAATAGGAAGACAAACCAAAATTACCCTGTTGCCTTTCAACAGGTACAATAGCTTTCTCTATTCACTACCACTATCCTAGGTTACAGGGGTATCCACCATACATGGTGAAATAAGTCAAGAT